CCCCTCCACAGGGACCAAGTCATCCACCTCCAAGCCAGGCGGCCAAAACCTCCCATGAAGGGGACGAAGGAGAAGCTTTCCTGCCGATCAGCTGCCCCTCCTAATGTCTTTTTTTTTAAAAAATATATTTTTATTGAGTTTCTTTTTTTTTTTACATCATAAAACATCGTGGTTTTGATAGCGTTCTTGGCATCCATACAGGTTTTTGGTTTAAGTATCATCATACGTTATATTACATTTGTCTAATATTAACGAATAACTGCAACTATGATTACTATCCTTATATCTTTGTATAATTTATAAATTTATGTTTCACTCTCTTAAGGACTATTCCAGTTAGGTTTCTTGTCTCACTTCTTAGTTCTGTTTGTTAACCATTTAGGCCCTCCCAGTTGTCTTTCTTGGCTAACAGATGGGGTCCCACTCAGCCACGGGGACCCTTCCCATCCAGAGAGACCCTCTGCCCACTTCCGCTGGCCAACGTATCCCCCTCCGATAACACATGGACCCAGGGGAGTTTGGGCTAAAACATGAAACCATTTGAAAAGTCCAAGGCTGCCCACATCTTCTCCCAAAACTCCCCTACCTCTCTTCTCTTCTGCGCCATCAGGGCGACCACAGCCTAAGCGAGGGGCCGGTGGACGAGACGGGTGCGCTCAGGAGGCAGCTTCAGGAGCAGGAAGAAACGGTGAGGGAGCTCCGAGGGCAGCTGCAGGAAGCGACGGGAAGACTCGGGGATGCCCAGGCCCAGGTAGGGTATCCGAGATGCTCCCCTGGGCCTTTTTGGGGTGGTTTTCTGGCCACTCGGGATCTTCTTAGGCCAATATTGGCAAGGGAACATGAATAGAGTGGAGTAGAGTAGAGTAGAATATTCTTTATTGGCCAAGTGTGATTGGACACACAAGGAATTTGTCTTTAGTGCAAATGCTCTGAGTGTACATAAAAGAAAAGAGATATTTGTCAAGAGTCAAGAATCTACTCGTAATAATAGTTGTAGGGTACAATAAGTAATCAAATCATACTAGGAAACAGTCCATATAGATTGTAAGGATACAAGCGACAAAAGTTACAGCCATACAGTCACAAATGGGAGGAGATGGGTGATAAGGAGTGATGAGAAGATTAACAGTAACAGTAGTGCAGACTTAGTAGATAGTTGGACAGGGCTGAGGGAATTATTACTCAAGGACAGTAAATTATAGATTTCCGGGTGTTTTCTCTTGTGAAATTCGTATAACTTGTCCAGCAATGCTCTGGCATTTCCGTACACAGTTTAAAATCGTGGTCCAAAGTTGCCTGCTAAAGCGTGCTGCCAGTTTTGGTCTAGTGGTTAAGATGCCAGGCTAGAAAGCGGGAGAATGTGAGTTCTAGTCCCACCTTAGGCATGAAAGCCAATTGGCTGACTTGGGGCCTGTTAGGGATACACCCTAGCAGAATCTGCACGGCAGTCAGGCAGGCAGGCAAAATATGTGAGATAAACGTTTTTGTAGCTTACACTCAGTAAAACAGATACACTGTGCTAGTTAAATAGTTTATTCCAGCAAGAGTTTTAGCATAGTCAAACAGTCCATATATCATTCACTAATTCAGTCCGTCCGGGGATTATTCAGTTGCAAAGTCCAGTGTCGAAAAAGAAGTCAGTAAACTTACAAATATCAGTCCAGTAATATATCTCCTCGCAGTAGAGATATGAAGAAGTCAAACCTCCTTTCTTCCTTCGACGTTCAAAAACTCAGCAGCAGGGAACACGCAGTTAGCAAACCAGCAATCCATCAAACCAGCAATCATCAGCAATCCAGCAGGTTCTCTTGCTCCCTCTTATGGTGGTTTCACAACCACACCCAAAATTACATGCTTTGCAGTTTAAAGTGACACACACTTAAACTTACTATCATCGTTTATATATATTATTTTACCCAAACTACGTTAGGTAACCTTGTTATTCCTAACAGGGCCAATCCCCAGGAGGTGGTGAATTCTAGTCCTGCCTTTGGCATGAAAGCCAGCTGGGTGGTCTTTAGGCCAATCACTCACTCACTCTCTGCCAACCCACTTCACAGGGTGGTGATTGTGGAGACAACAGAAGAAGGAAGGTGTGTCGGACGTGTTCCCCACCTTATCTGTAGAAATAATAAAGGGGCGATACGAATAAAATAATGCATATAACAGGAGCCACAGCCTCTCAAGAGGCGCCCAGTGGATGAGGGATACCCTGTATGGGAGAGTTTCGACTCCAGGTGCCTGGCACCGTTGTCCCCAATTTGGGTCTGAGCCCGGTGCCGAAGCCAATGTTGGACGCCAGACAGGAGGTGCAGGTTTTGCTGATTGCTTTTTATTGGAGTATACTCCGAGGAAAAGGGGCTCCTGGTCAAAATGCCAAGAGCCCAGAACAAAGGATCGAGCAAGTTTTATACATTTTCTCTAAGGGGGAAAAGGGTGGGACGAAGCGAGATAATAAGAAATATCATCTAATAAACATTTCAGTAATAATTCTACAATTGGTGCTATTGGTCTCTAGCTGTCCCTATTCCCAAGTCTTGGCTAATGAAATCCCTGGGAGTTACCTAATACACACTGGATTTGCTCCAGGCCTAAGTTTTAGCTGAGGTCTGCAAGTTGTCAAACTCGTGTTAACTTTCATCAGCTCTCTAACTAGCCAGGATTGTTAGGAGATTTATGCACGCATATCTCCTGTGGATAAGCATTCTTTGTTCTAGCCAGGCAGACTCATTCTAGCCAGGGGATCATTTTAGCACTGTCTCTTTTCCGCTCGGGGGCTCCAGTGGTCGCCTCGGTTCCCCCGAGGCTTCCCCATTGTAATAATCCTCACTGTATTTTATTCTTCTCTCGGCAGATCAGCTGCCTTCAAGGGGAAGTGCTGGAGAAAGAGTCACTCCGCGAAGAACAGGCTCTCCAGCTTCAGGCGGAAATCCACCAGGCAGAGGCCCGCCAAGCCGAAATGCTGCAGGTGGGTTGGCCTCTGGGAAAGCTGCCTGCGATTTACGGGAGGTTTTCAACTTGCCGCAGTTCATGTAGGGACCGAAGTTACAACGGCGCTGAAGAAAAAAAAAATGTGACTCACGACTGTGTTTCACAGTTAACGACCGCTGCAGTATCCCCATAGCCCA